ATATATTCATGTTTATAGAAGCATAATCATAATCATAATAGCTAAATCTTAAAACAATGCAAATGCCCATCAATCAAGGAGTGAATAAGATATGGTCTTTTTATACCACAGAGTACTAGGCAGCCATAAAGAAAGATAAATTTAAGACTTTTATAGGTAAATGGTTGTAAATCAAGACCATATTCATAAGTAAAACAAATCAGACTCAAGTGTGTATTGTCTTTCTGTTGTGAGAAACTTAAAGAGAAATAAGGTCTAAAAGATACCACATATATTGTGAAATGGGAAGATACTTCAAAAGGAAAAGGAACTAGAACAGGTAAAAGAGGAAAGGAAAATAAAAATGGAAAAAAACACAAGTCAGCTATACTATTAGTGTCTCTTAGATCATTATAAATGGAGATTTGTGCTAACAGCAATGGGAGAAATTTTTACATCTATATCTTGAACTCTGAGCAACTACTTTAAAGATAACATGAATGTTATCTTATTATATGTAATGCAGTAACTATTGTTATTCCCCTATTATTTTGTTATGAAATTTTGTTTTACCTGTTTTCCATAGAATAAAAAAGAGTGCAAATACAGGGCAGACTTTTGCCTGAATGGGATCATTCCCAATAGAAACAGGAGTGGATCATATCCTTAAGTACCTGACACTGTTTCTCCCCAGTTAAGATCTCCTGTTTTTCTCTTTGAAGCTTTTGATATTGATGGAGTGCTCCCTTCCCTCCCTTCATTTCCATGGCATCCTCATCATCAAGCAGCGATTATGATGACATGAAAGATGCCATTTCCGAATCAAGTTCTCATGACAGTACCTCTGTGGAGTATTTCTCTTGTGAGGACACCTTCCCCAATGAGGACCCAACTTCCCGGGGAGACATGACTTCCAACAGAGGTTCTTTACTCCACCTTCTGCCTCCTAACAAAGGGACAGAGGAAAGGAAAAGCAAAAGTACACCCATCATCAGACAATATCAGGTTCGGGATGAACCAAAGCAGGATCCCAAAATAAGCATTGCCCTGGCCTGGGATGAGGAGGACACTGAGAGTGTGGCTCGCACCGTAGAACGTCTGATGAAAATGCTTCACACCTGTCTGGAAAAGCTAAACAATGGCGAAGAAAGTACACAAGGTGATGACAGAAATCCAAAACATGAAGAAGACATTAATAAAAAAGACAACGACAAAGTCTCTGCATTGTCTGAAGCTGTAGAGGAAGAAAACTTTCAGTTCTGCAACCACTGCCCCCTTCACATAGCTCAGGTCAGTGGGCAAGAATGTGACAACTGTCAGGAGTTGCCCACGCACAGACCACCAGGAAGTGAGGACGTCACCCAGGTCTCCAGGGTGCCTCTGATATTTAAGGAGCAGGTGAGCATGATATTTAAGGAGCAGGTGAGCACGCTGAGGTGAGCATGGAGATGCTTCCCTGGTGGGCAAGGGCAACCCATGGGGGTTCCCAGTTGAATATCAGTCATACAATGTGGAGAAACAGGGTTAGACGCTGGGGTTTGACAGGACTGGGGAGGACAAGGAAGACAGCAAGGGAAGAGCTGTGAGAGGAGATGATGGAAAAATATGAAGAAGCATCACAAGAGAGGAGGACAGAAACAAGAGAAGGGATAATTTTTTTAATGTATCTGTGTGTGTGTGTGTGTGTGTGTGTGTGTGTGTGTGTGTGTGTGTGTGTTTGCTAATCAGTGCTGAAACTCTGTGCTTACTATTGGGCCATTTTAGGTAAAAGGCTCTGAGTTCCATAAAGGAGCCAATATTGAATTCATGCTTGCCAACATTACCTGTATTCAATTCATTCTTTTCTTGGCAGACAATGAGCCAGCCGACTGACAGCCAAATGGTCAGCACCACGCAGGCCACCTGGCTCTCCTCATGGAAGACAGAGAAAGAGGGCACTCGTGACACACAGACCACACCCTGCTTGAACTTGAGGCGTGCCCTCCGCTGGCTGAGGCAGCGAGTACTTTGCTGCCTACAGAGCAGAAGGCATCCTGAGTAGGCCACCCAGAGACCCTATCCATATGTAACAAGATGTCTTGTTAGAGGCAAAATGAACCAGTGCAAAGAATCCCTTGAATAACTACAATACCCTGGATAACCTAATTCTCAACTGCTTTATACCCCATATTGATATTTGATATATCCATAGGCTCATTTTTTTTTCAGTGAAATAAATGTCCTTGTTACTCATATCTGTTTTATCTAGCACACTGTCTTGGTTCAAGTTGAAAGCACATATGCCATCTAGCTAACTGAAATTCATTCCCAGGAAATTTTAGGTAACATGATGTTTCCTCAGCAGAAAGTATTCATTTCCTCCCTCTCTACTCTTCTTATGGCATTTTATCTTATTTTATCTGTTTCATGTTTTCAGTCTATTTTACATCAGCCCACAAACCCAAGTTCAGAAGTGAGCAGTATGAGCCATTCGACTCCAGCTACGGTGCAATTATTTGCATTGAATTTCTGGGGCATGAGCACACGGCCGTGTGGATCTAGTCACTCAGGAAGCTCACTGAAATTGTTAATGGTTGCAACATTAAGAAGACCCTACTCATGATCTTGGGAGACCACACTGGTTCTAGCATGTTTGCTATTCTGACAAGTTCTAGCATGTTAATGGGTTTTAGCATGCTGGTGATATTGAATGGCTATATATATATATATATATATATATATATATATCAAGAGTTGATGTTAAATTTATTTATTAAATTTATTTATTAAAGGGTTGATGTTAATTAGGATACACACTCATTGAGTAAATAGCACTGTTCTTCTTCATGTCATTAATCATTCTCCTGAAGATTTGCTCAGGAAACAATTCAATTAATGTGCAAGAAAAAGAGTTTGGTCAATTCTCAGAAGCAGCACTCTAGGCAGTTGGACGCCCTACATAGCTAATGGTGGATCATGAGTTTGTTTACACTTTGAATCCAAGTTCTAAGCTCTTATCAGTACAAAACAGCTGCCTTCATTCAAAATAAATGACAAAATGAGACTTTGTGATCAGTGATTTTTTTTCTTTCCTTAGTCCCAGAGACCATATTCAGAAAATGATTGAGACATTTTTAGCACATAATTTAAAGCACAGCACTGGGCTCAATTGACTATGACATTAAAGGATCTGAAATAAAACCCAAAAATCAACGAACTGATTTTCAGACAGTCATACCAATTTAAATTATAGAACTTTACAAAGTGTTTCTCTCACTGGCAAGAACAGTGCAGCCTCCAGCTTTCCAGTTCAAGATACAGACAAATTGACAACAGATTAAGGAAACACACTACAACCAGTTAATCCAGGTAAAGAAAAAGTGCCTTTCAAACAAACAAACAAAAAAAGGGATGTGTTAATTACTTTCTGTTTGCTGAAATAAAATGTCCACAAGTAAAAACGGAAAGTTTTATTTTACTTACAGTTTGTGGAGCTTCCAGCCTATAGTCAGTTGGCTCCGAGGCAGGGAGGCCTGGCAGGTAGGTGTGGCCGGGGAGAAACGCTTCATCGCAGGGCAGGCAGAAAGCAGCAAGTATAGAGCCTGGTTTCCCTTTTTATTCCAACCAGACTACAAGCCTATTGTTTGGACACACGTGCGCACATACACACACTCACACACACACACACACACAGTGAGCTTTCCCATTGTCCACACCCAGAACTATGCTAAACCAATCAGTGAACTACTGCAGTCATCACATATTTATAATCCAAAATGATACTCATATGACCCAGCCACAGATGAACACGTAAAGCGTTTAGGGGACACTGAGACATAGACATAACATTCCCAAACCCAGACCTCAAAAGACTCGTGCACATCCCTTTACACAAAATGCATTTGGTCTGTCTCTATGATTTGCCTAAGTCCCAACAGTTTAGCATTATGAAAAGTCCAAGTCCAATGTCGCCTCTGAGATTTACGGCAAACTTCACTGTGAGCCCACAGAAAAATAAAAAAGTTAAACACTTACACCATACAAAGACACCAGATAGTCATTTCCATTCCAAAATGTAGAAACACTGGGATAGAAAGGAGTGGGACTGAAGCAAGGCTAAAATCCCACAACACAATCTTTACAGCCTGTAGTTTCCTGTCCAACACCTGGGGCAAGTTTTAGCAAGATGTGAACTACAAAGGGCTTGGGTAGCTCTGTTCTTATGCCATTGAGGTGGTTTTAGCCCTCATGACTTCTCTTAGGCTAGCTTTGCTCAGCAGATCCACATTCCTGATTTCTCTAAGTATGTGGCTTTCCTCAGAAGACCCAGATCCTGACTTCTCTAAATTTCTGAGCTCCCCTTGCACTTTTTGTCTCAACCCCATCACTTCACACACTGCCTTCTCAGGGGCACACTTCCTGGCCCTCCAGGCCTTTTACTGAAATCTAGGCAAAGCCTCCTTAACCTCTCAGCTTTTGCATTCTGCTTGCAGGTAAACTAAGCACTATGTGGATGACAACAAGGTCTGCCACCTGCTGGACCAAAAGCCAGGTTTCTTTAAGTAGGGATTGTGTGCCTAGATGGCTGAGCACCATAAACCCAATCCTGACAGACTACCTACACCATCACTGTTATTGAACATGGTGCTCTGGGAGCATGACAGAGGAGAAACAACTCATTGCAGAAAAGGCAGAAAGAATCAAAGAGGGAGCCCTCCTTTCCCTTTTTGTTCCATCTAGGCTCCAAGCCTATTGGTTGATGTCACTCACACACAGATGGGCCTTTTCATTATCCACACCCAGAACTATGCTAACCCCATCAGTAGACTAATTCAGTTATCACATATTCATAATCTAGTATCAAATACACATGACCCAGGCACAGCCAAAGCCCCACATATATGCACCTGAGGTTTGGAGAGATGTCTATCACAGAGGAAGAGTTCTTCAAAGGGATCTCACATTTGGAGAATTGCAGGATCCACAATCTAAAATTAAATTCCAGATCTACTCAGAACTTTAGGCCTAAAACAGAACGTGCATGATTTGTACACCCACTTTCAGAAAAGTGTGACTCAAGACAGTGAAATTGTTTGTCCATATTTCCAGATGAAAAGAACTTTTATTCTAGCTGGAAAGAGTACATGTAATATATTTTCAACTATTTCCAATTACTTCTTTTTTATCTTCAGATGTTTTGTTGATGTGTCCCCTAGGGTTTTTATTTGTTAGAGTAAATGTATATGAAGTCTGATGTTTTAACATTTGCTCAGCTCATATTTCAAGATAATCCTAAAAGAGAATCGTTATTACCTCTTTTACCAGAACCTTTTTAAATTTTTTTTTTTTTAATTTTAGGGAAGGGTCTACAGGGTGTTCAGCGTCTCACTGCTAGATTGGACTCATAGTGATCTGCCTGTTTACAGCCTCACAAGAGCTGGAATTACAGCCATGCACCACCACACCCAGTCTCAATTGCCATCTCAGCACACCCTGGGGGCAGGGCTGGCCCAGCAGGCCTGGGGATCAAACCCCTGGCCTCTGGGCCTGCTTGCAGATGCTTTAACCTGAGAACCTAACTTCTGACTTCAAATAAAGTAAATGACTATAACAACATGTCCTGAAAACTATAAAAACTGTGAATGACTGGAGAAAAATGATGAAACGTTCTCTTGTGCAAAGTCACCGCATTTCAGAGCTTATTTGGCCTTCTCCCACTCTCCTAATGTTGCTGTTGATCACAAGACCACAAGCACTTTTCTGTTCTAGCTGCAGGTGGAATATTGTGAAGAGTTGGGTTCAAAGTAGACTTTTTGCAAACATTTTGGCAAGTTTAGTTTAAAACATAACATGGGATTTCTGGCTGTATTTTGAGTTTTAAATCAAGTTGATGTTTTGGAATTAATGGTCAATTAAAGTTTGTGTGGATGGTCATTTTTCATCTTAAATTTTCCAAATATTGGAAATAAATAAGGGATACATCTACTACTTTTTCATTTGAATAAAAATCATAAGAATAGAATTATTTGATTGGCCTATTGAATTCCCTACATTTTCCTTTCATGACTCAAGGTCTCATTACACAGCTCAGACTTGTACTGATGCTATTTTCACTCTCTTCAGAGCTGGGATTACAGGCATGTGCTACCAAGCCCAGTCTCAGGGTTCCCGGGTGCGGAGCCGGCCTGGCATGTGGCACTCTCGATCTAACCCTGGTCCCTGTGCTTGCCTAAGCAGGCATTTAGTCTGCTGAACTATCTCCCTGGCCCTCAAGACTTGCTCTTGTATTTTCCCTCAATTATTTCATTGTCTAGAGTTGGGAATTAAATATAAGTCTGAGTTTAATAAAAATTTTACGTATTTTTATTTTTTTAATTTAATTTTATTTTGAAGAGCAAAAACAAAAGCAAAATAAAGAGAAGAAACCTAACATACCAATTGCTCTCTTTAATTTTTTTAAA